TATGACCATGCAAATCATTTTACATAAAGTTCTCTTTACTTGACACGACACAAGCAATAAAAAAACAGTCCTGGATACATAAGGCTGCAGAATGTATCTTCATAATAAACAAGTTCAAGACCAAAAAATAACATTTAATAAACTGTGCTAAAAGACAAATAATAATAATAATAATAATAATAATAATAATAATAATAATATTATTATTATTAAATTATTTTTTATTTACCTATTTTTTTAATTGCTCAGTGGAAAATGTCATGATGCCGTTTCTGTCCTTAGGTCTCTGGTCAGGACCCGGAAAGAAATGTGTACACAACAGAAATCAAAGGAAATATAATAATAATAATAATAATAATAATAACCATGTAACTATCCTCTGGGACATGCCAATTCAAACTGACAGGGAAATAAAAGCCAACGAACCTGATATTATAAAAGAAAAGAAATTCAGGAAGTGTATGCTTATTGGCATGACAGTATCATCTGAGAGAAACACCTCCATGAAAATTCTCGAGAACTTGTCCAAATACGAGGACCTGGAGATCAGGATTAACAGGATGTGGGGAATAAAGACTGAGTTTGTACCAACAGTAATTGGAGCCCAAGTGAGAAAAGGAATGGACAATTTTACTAACAGTAAACATGCAAGCTTCCCAGAAGATGGCCCTACTAGTAACATCCCATATACTAAGAAAAGTGTCATGAATAAAATGACAATTCTCCTATAAGGCCTAAGAACCATAGTTTGGATCCGGCTCTTCACAGTAAAATCAGGAAATACAACATGCATAAATAATAATAATAATAATAATAATAATAATAATAATAATAATAATAATAATAATAATAATAATGAAACATCACCGGAAGTTCTTTTGATGCTTTTTGGCGTAGCAAATTCATTAGGAACAGCTGACCAACGGGTAATTAAATTGTTCTGGCTGAATGGCTGTCAGGGGGTGAGGGAAGGGATTAATGTCACCATAATGAGCTTCCTTTATTTCTTCTTTTTATTATACAGATTTAGATTTTTATAATTGTAAATAATAATGGCCAATATCCTCTTTTTGAAAACGCATCAAGAGAAATCACGGTCAGTTTGCCACACTCGAAAAAAACTTCCATTAAATATAGCGACATCGAGAATTAAGATTAAATTAATGTGCAAATAATGCTAAACTAATGCATAAATATATATATATATATATATATATATATATATATATATATATATATATATATCGTGTTATGCCATAGTACCTATTCTATGGATTGAATGTAGGAGTAGCAGTGGCAAGTCTGGCAGAATGGGTTTGAGCGCGTCAGTCGAGATTCGGACATTTGAAGTACCAACCATCACAACTAGATTGCTGCGCCATTGACTCTTATTTTCCAAGTTCCTAACATTTTGTACGTCGGACCTAATTTAGGACGACTTATACAAACATATAAAATACAAGCCTCCACTGTGAAAATACTCCACAACAGATAGATAGATAGATAGATAGATAGGTAGGTAGATAGACAGATAGATATTTATTTATTTTAAGACATTTTTATGTTTATACATTTTTTTTATAGATACAAATATTTAAGTAAATGCCCTGTTTTTAATAAACAATATTAATAACATTTACCGGCCTGAATGTCCGAGAAATTTTCATAGAAAATATTCGTTCTCTGTATCCTATACGGAGCCGTCATTTAGCCTGACGTGCCTTAACCGAATAATGTAAACAGTGTACATAATATCTCATCCCAGAAATATAGACATGCACTAAAATGCCGAAGCGTAATAAATATGGCGATAAAGATGAGGACAATTGTCTGAATAATGTAAATAGTGTACATAATACCTCATTTCAGAAATGTAGACATATACCAGATACCCCTCGTTGATCTTATGATATATGTAAATACAGGGCTCTGGAATTGACGGGAGCATTCAGATTCTCCTCGAATGTTCGCTTGTGAAATTTGCCTACATTAATCAGTGTATAATAACAATAATTCTTTATTGTATAAATTCTGAGTGACTTTATTTTTGCTTTGAATGTAATAATCCACAATGCATGCCTTGAAAACAATAATTTCTACAATTTTAAAAATGTCAAATATTACTCGTTTGCTCACTCTGGAGTATTTTATATCAATCTTGAGAGACTGAGAGTTAGTTCGCGGTATAATACGAGGTAGGAGTCGAAGAAAGCACGTAGAGAAAATTAACACGCATTATCGAATTTAGTAGTAGGGAATTAGTCTCTGAAAGTATGGCTGTTGATGGAAGAGTCTTCGTATCGCTGTTGGTAGCCTGGTTAAGTTTTATTACTGTGTGGGCCGTCGCTACAGTCGGGGTCTGGTTGAATCTGCCTTCGTAGGTGAATTCGACGTATACATTACTGTCTGTCAGTGGCTCAAAAACGGCTGCATGTAGTGGGCGTTTTTCCGATTGGTTCTAAAAAAATAACCTAGAGTTTTTGGACAGTATATTCGGAAGTGAGTGCACAAAATACCAAAATTTTTGTCAGTGATCTGTGGGAGTCGACGTAAGCACTTCCGTTTGTTAAAGAAATGATTTTCCGACAGATTACGAGAAATTTCTGACAAAACCATGAAAACTAGCAATCCAAACTGGTTCTGAATAAAGTAAAACCTTTAAAAATAAATAAATAAATCATACACACATACGCATACGCAACCAAACAAACAACACACACACACACACACACACACACACACACATATATATATATATATATATATATATATATATATATATATATATATATATAATCGACTCTCCCACCGAGATTCGACGTATGAGGTCAAGCAGATCAGTTTCAGGAAACCGACAGCCCGAAACCGGCACATGAGATTTGATTATAGTGGTGAAGGTTTCGTGCAGGACCATCCACACTTTTGAAGAGACGAATACAGAGACCTGGTGCACCGAATACCAAGGTTCCCAAACGACCCTTCGCAGGTTTTGAATTCAGAGTTGTCCTTCTCCTAGACCAGTTGCCAACCAAGGCTATAGAACCCAGTCTGTCCTGATATATATATATATATATATATATATATATATATATATATATGGGAGAAAAGGATATATACATTTTTATATACTTGAACAACCATAAGATAACTTATCTTACAAGATGAATTTTGTCATGTATGGGACTTTATCGAACTAAATATTTACCATGATAAGTCACTCGGAGGACGAAACGTGTCAGCTAAGGTATATTTTATTTGCGTTTATTCATATATATATATATATATATATATATATATATATATATATATATATATATATATATATACTATTTACATTATTCGGATAAAGGCGTTGGTTAGATCTAGTGACAAGACCAAAGAGTGTGAGTTCAATATCCGGTTAACGCTGTGGAAAACTTTCAGGTGGGAATTAACAGGAGATAACTGATAACTCACATCCATCAAAACATGGCACGTCGAACTAGAACAGTCTACCCCAGTGAGCGAAATAAAGGGTTCAGTTCGACATTCCAACCACCTGAAGAAGGCCGGAACACGCAACGGCCGAAACGTTGTAATAAATATGCCGACAAAGATGAGGACAATAGTCCGAATGATGTAATTAGTGTACATAATACCTCATCTCAGAAATATATATATACATACATATATATATATATATATATATATATATATATATATATATATATATATATATATATATATATATATATATATTATATATACACAAAAAAAGAAAACATTGTTTTTAATTTTTATTGCATTTTTCCAATTTTCCGATGTGTTGAGAATGGTGTTCGAAGTTGTGGATAAACTGAACAAGGCGTCTATATTGTTACTATTGTTCAAGGAATTTCGACTTTCTCAGTCATCATGAGGACTTATCTAAAACTTCGGTGTTACTGAGTGTAAAGGGGTTAGGAAAAGAAAATTTACTAGTGAACGGGAAGAGAAAAGTGTAATCGGGATAATAGATAGCGTTTAACATGATATTTAGATTTTTTCACATTGAAGTTATATATATATATATATATATATATATATATATATATATATATATATATATATATATAGAGAGAGAGAGAGAGAGAGAGAGAACAATAAAATAACAAGAATTCAGATGAGAGAATCTAATGATTAACATGTGCATTTCAATGTTTGAAGATAATAGTTTTGTGGAAAAGAGTTCCACAAGTGAGAAACACGATAGAAGAAACTTTTAGCATAGAACTTGCTGTTACATCTAAGCATTTCAACAGTTGAATGATGGGACCTAGTTGCCAATCTAGTACTGCGCTTAAATTCATAATAGCTATTTACCAAAGAGGAAAGTTAATCAGTCCAATTTACGACTGAGTAGTGAGTTCGATCCTCACTGCGTGCCTCATGCTTTCGCTTCTGTCCTACGCTTAGTAAATCACCATATGCAACAGGTCTAATTACTTGAGATAATTTATATTTTTGCCTAAAACAGACCAAGAAAAAACTGACGGGAAATGGGAAATTGAAGATTGTGTTGCGCAAATCTTGCTTATGGTGATAGTGTGCCCAATAAATCAGCATTTAAAAACCTGGCTTTTCTTCCTGGACACGAGCAATCACTTCTTGCACTAACCAAACAAAATATAATTATTACAGATACGAGGTAGGCCACGGGTCACTCTATGAATTAAAAAAATGACAGACTTGCTGACCAAATGTTTTCATGAAAACTGCAAACTTAGTCAGCCATCATACTTAACGAAGCTGTCTGCTTACAACATTAAACAATGTTTTAAGCTTCTAATTTTGTAAACTAATCTTTCTCTACAACGATATGTCTCTCTCTTTCTCTTGTTTCTAAAAGCTCGCAGACGCGAGCAATTGTCTGAGTCTTTTGATTGGTCCAAATCTTCATCATCTGCCAAGTGGAGAGAACCAGGAACCAATTAATAGCCAGATTTCCCGCGCTGTAGATTAGAAGCTCGCAGCGCTGGCAGATGGCCAGCGCCCATCCCAAACCTATATCCATCATGTTCAACTCGTCCAACCCTACTGTATTGCTGGTGGTCGAATGCATGGATAATCGAAGGACAAACAACGGCTACGCCGACGGTCATTTTTCTAGGCTCGGAACGAGTCAGATCTGTAAGCAGACGTTGTTTCCACTTGACTGCCATTTGTTGAAGTCTATATCTGGAAATGGAAACAACAAAGAGATTCCGTTAAGAATGTCAAACGTCTGAAGAAAATGCAAGTGTTCTTACAATAGCATTTATACCTATCTAGCTATACGAGTTTATTCTTAACTATTGATCAGACCATATTGTAATCTATCTATCTATCTATCTATCTATCTATCTATCTATCTATCTATCTATCTAAGTCTGTTCAATATCTATCTATCTATCTATCTATCTAGCTAGCTAGCTAGCTATCTATCTAAGCCTAGTCAAATCTATCTATATATCTTAGTCTATTCAATATTCTTTATCTATCTATCTATCTATCTATCTATCTATCTATCTATCTATCTATCGTAGTCTGTACAAATCTATCTATATATATCTTAGTCTCTATTCAATCTTCTTTATCTATCTATCTATCTATCTATCTATCTATCTATCTATCTATCTATCTATCTCTCTATCTATCTATCTAAGCCTAGTCAAATCTATATATATCTTAGTCTATTCAATATTTTTCTATCTATCTATCTATCTATCTATCTATCTATCTATCTATCTATCTATCTATTCTATCTATCTATCTATCTATCTATCTATCTATCTATCTAGCTAGCTATATCTAAACCTTAAATCTCTATTCAATCTATTCAATATCTTATCTATCTATCTATCTATCTATCTATCTATCTATCTATCTATCTATCTATCTAAGTCTGTCAAATCTATCTATATATATCTTAGTCTATTCAATCTTCTTTATCTATCTATCTATCTATCTATCTATCTATCTATCTATCTATCTATCTAAGCCTAGTCAAATCTTATATATATATATCTTATCTATTCAATATTCTTTATCTATCTATCTATCTATCTATCTATCTATCTATCTATCTAAGTCTGTTCAAATCTATCTATCTATCTATCTATCTATCTATCTATCTATCTAAGCAATATATCTTTATCTATTCAATATTCTTTATCTATCTATCTATCTATCTATCTATCTATCTATCTATCTATCTATCGTAGTCTGTACAAATCTATCTATATATATCTTAGTCTCTATTCAATCTTCTTTATCTATCTATCTATCTATCTATCTATCTATCTATCTATCTATCTATCTATCTATCTAAGCCTAGTCAAATCTATATATATATATATCTTAGTCTATTCAATATTCTTTATCTATCTATCTATCTATCTATCTATCTATCTATCTATCTAATCCTAGCCAAATATATCTATATATCTTAGTCTTTTCAATCTATCTATCTATCTATCTATCTATCTATCTATCTATCGTGGTCTATACAAATCTATCTATATATTTTCGTCTATTCAATCTTCTTTATCTTTCTATAAGATAAAGACAAAACAGGAAAGGTTTATGAATCTAACATGTTTCACTTTTATGAAAACTTCGCCAGAGATTGAGGGAAAAACAGACAAAACGAAAGAAGATCTTATATTTTCAATTTTGTTAGATTGATAAAAATTCCTACTTTACCTTATCATCCTGTCCAATTCTCATATTTGATCTACATTTGACATCTAATCTATCTATCTATCTATCTATCTATCTATCTATCTCTCTCTCTCTCTCTCTCTCTATATATATATATATATATATATATATATATATATATATATATATATATATAGTCTATTCTTATTTAGCTATCTATCTTTCTATATTGAAATTTATTTACTCTGATTCTCTCTGTGACTCACTCATACACATACTCTCTCTCTCTCTCTATATATATATATATATATCTTAGTCTATTCAAATCTATCTATCTATCTATCTATCTATCTATCTATCTATCTATCTGTCTGTCTGTCTGTCTGACTTAGTCTATTCAAATCTATGTATGTATGTATCTATCGATGTTATTCTACTAAAATTTATCTATATATTACATGTCAATGTCAACTATCTCTCTATCTCTTTATCTAGCAAGCTAACTATCTAGCTATCTTTGTCTATTCAAATATATCTCTCGATATATTCTAGTTTATTCAATCTTTATCTATCTATCTATCTATCTATCTATCTATCTCTATCTATCTATAAGATAATCTATTTTTTTTATTTCTATTTCTGTCTGTCTGTCTGTCTGTCTGCCTCTCTCTTTCTCTCTCTCTCTCTCTATATATATATATATATATCATAGTCTATTCAAATTTCTTTCTCTCTCTCTCTCTCTCTCTCTCTCATGTATGTGTGTGTCTGTGTGTGTCTTAGTCTTTTCATATCTATCTATTATTATTATTCGTCTTTTTTCTTCCTTTTCTTCGTTTTTCTTCTTCATTTTTCTTTTGCTTCTTCATTTTCTTCTTCTTAATATTAACATTATTAATGTTTACACGGCTTTGACTAAGCAAACAGTAATTATAAATAGTGAAATTAGCATTTTTCGCCCAATATCATCGAACGTTTTATTAAAGAAAACGTAACCTTCGGCATGGATCGAATCTGGATTCCCTTTCTAAGGGAAACAGAATTTTGGCCAGGCATGCTTCGCCGTTAGATTACGGAGATCTTCAGAGCAAAGCGTGTCCATGAATGATTGGTCGAAAAATGCCCTGCGCTCATCACGAGGACAGGACTTTTGTTTTCCTTTTCAATGACTTCAAAAGTCTTCATACAGCAAGAATAATACTGAAAAAAAATGTTGAAATTCGGTTGGTCTGTACTGATGTACGTGTCATCTTTGCCTGTCCTTGAACCAAACAATTATTGCGTTCTTCGATAGTTGTAAAACGATTTGTGGGGGGGGGTTCACTCATGAAAACCAGATTAAAGAATCTCTCAAGGATATTTTCGCGTAAGTGAATATAATAAAACCGACTGGAATTGGAAATCGGTTTTCGGAATCTAATTACGAGCCGTTATCCATGCCACCTCCGTATATACAAAGAGTCACCCATATAGGTACCGAGCAGGCTCGACGTTGCTTAACTTCGTGTGACTTAGGAGAACCGATGTTTTAACGTGATATCGCCATAATCCCAGAGGTATACCTGAACAGTAAGCTAGAACTTATCACGGAGCCATCACTTCATCTAAAATCTTACCCCAAAGAACCACAGCATCTCGATCATGATGTTTTAGTCTGTGAGCCCATTTCCGTCAGTTGTCACCAATCTTTCCTACATCATCCTGCTACATAGATAGTTGCAAGGGATTCTTTAGAATTTAAATATCGATTTTTATGTGTTCTATTGTCCATCTTATTCGATTTTTTGCCTTTAAATGAGGTATATTGATTGATTTCATGTGTTTCTTGACTTGATTTCTGACCTACAACTTGTGTAAATATTCTATAACTGTCAGCCACGTAATACCCACAACTCACCCTTGTGTGATTTGTATCAGTGCTGCCTGAGATATCAAAAACTTATCAAAAAGTTCGTTAAATATCCTAGACAGAGATCTTTGGTACCCATTGGTTATTGTTAAAATGTTCAACGTTAATTTATGTTTTGAAAAATATGAAGTCTTCGCTTTGTCCGATAACTCAGCCTTACGATCAATTTTAAAAGTTCAAACTTGCAGTTGGGCTATTGAAATTTGATAATTAACGCCACTTTATGCAAATAACTCCTGTTTCTTTCCATTTGCGCAGAACGAACGATTTTTAATTAATTTCTGCGCAAGTATATGTCACCTTCATTAAAAAAAATACACATTTAAATTCTAATAAATATTTATTTTATATTTTTGGAAAAAAAAATCGAATGAGTAATAATGTAACCTGAGATATATATATATATATATATATATATATATATATATATATATATATATATATATATATATAATCCGTAAGTGCGAAGGATAATCCAAAAAATTAACAATTGCATACAATTAAATATAAATCATGAAGAGCGAAACATACGCTGCTATTTAACCCATAGTTAGGATTGGGGGAAGAAATAGTTTCATTAGCGCGAAAGTGAACGCAACAGACTATATAAGAAATAAAACGCAACTTGCCGATTCCATATTTGCAATGAAAAAATGTTGAACCTCCCACACATCCACTCACTGATTATAATCATTACTGAGGGTCTCTTCTTATCACAAGTTAAAACAGCAATGGACGTTACTCCAGGGAAGCGAATGAAATTATAACCCTGCACTAAAACACTGACAAGCCTTACCAGTGAGCAAATCAAAGTACTATAAACTGGCCCAGACACAGTTGTCTCGATTGTCGATTAGTTGTCCTACGGTCATTCTCTTCAATGGACGTTACCCAGGGAAGCGAACGAAAATTATAACCCTGCACTAACACACTGACAATCCTTACCAGTGAGCAAATCAAAGTACTATAAACTGACCCAGACACAGTTGTCTCGACTGTCGATTAGTTGTCCTACGGTCATTCTCTGCAATGGACGTTACTCCAGGGAAGCGAACGAAAATTATAACCCTGCACTAACACACTGACAAGCTTAACAGTGAGCAAATCAAAGTACTATAAACTGACCCAGACACAGTTGTCTCGACTGTCGATTAGTTGTCCCCTACGGTCATTCTCTGCAATGGACGTTACTCCAGGGAAGCGAACGAAAATTATAACCCTGCACTAACACACTGACAAGCCTTACCAGTGAGCAAATCAAAGTACTATAAACTGACCCAGACACAGTTGTCTCGACTGTCGATTAGTTGTCCTACGGTCATTCTCTGCAATGGACGTTACTCCAAGGAAGCGAACGAAAATTATAACCCTGCACTAACACACTGACAAGCCTTACCAGTGAGCAAATCAAAGTACTATAAACTGACCCAGACACAGTTGTCTCGACTGTCGATTAGTTGTCCTACGGTCATTCTCTGCAATGGACGTTACTCCAGGGAAGCGAACGAAAATTATAACCCTGCACTAACACACTGACAAGCTTTAACAGTGAGCAAATCAAACTACTATAAACTGACCCAGACACAGTTGTCTCGACTGTCGATTAGTTGTCCTACGGTCATTCTCTGCAATGGACGTTACTCCAGGGAAGCGAACGAAAATTATAACCCTGCACTAACACACTGACAAGCCTTACCTGTGAGCAAATCAAAGTACTATAAACTGACCCAGACACAGTTGTCTCGACTGTCGATTAGTTGTCCTACGGTCATTCTCTGCAATGGACGTTACTCCAGGGAAGCGAACGGAAATTATAACCCTGCACTAAAACACTGACAAGCTTTACCAGTGAGCAAATCAAAGTACTATAAACTGGCCCAGACACAGTTGTCTCGACTGTCGATTAGTTGTCCTACGGTCATTCTCTGCAATGGACGTTACTCCAGGGAAGCGAACGAAAATTATAACCCTGCACTAACACACTGACAAGCTTAACAGTGAGCAAATCAAAGTACTATAAACTGACCCAGACACAGTTGTCTCGACTGTCGATTAGTTGTCCTACGGTCATTCTCTGCAATGGACGTTACTCCAGGGAAGCGAACGAAAATTATAACCCTGCACTAATACACTGACAAGCCTTACCAGTGAGCAAATCAAAGTACTATAAACTGACCCAGACACAGTTGTCTCGACTGTCGATTAGTTGTCCTACGGTCATTCTCTGCATTGGACGTTACTCCAAGGAAGCGAACGAAAATTATAACCCTGCACTAACACACTGACAAGCCTTACCAGTGAGCAAATAAAAGTACTATAAACTGACCCAGACACAGTTGTCTCGACTGTCGATTAGTTGTCCTACGGTCATTCTCTGCAATGGACGTTACTCCAGGGAAGCGAACGAAAATTATAACCCTGCACTAACACACTGACAAGCTTTAACAGTGAGCAAATCAAACTACTATAAACTGACCCAGACACAGTTGTCTCGACTGTCGATTAGTTGTCCTACGGTCATTCTCTGCAATGGACGTTACTCCAGGGAAGCGAACGGAAATTATAACCCTGCACTAACACACTGACAAGCCTTACCAGTGAGCAAATCAAAGTACTATAAACTGGACCGGAAACTCTTCTGATTTAAATCCAGTAGAAAATATGTGATCGGGTGTATTTAAATAAGTTCTAATTGAACCATGATTGACGTGAGTCGACTAGATAGGCATGCAGTAGTATGATCAATATAATTATTTATGAGTTTGATTTGATCAGGAAGACTTATTTAAGAGGCATTTGAGCTCGTAAATAATATTGTTTCTTTGTAGTTTTGATTATGCGTTTGTGTTGTTATTTTTTATGACAAGGTTAGCTCTTTTAACTTGTGATGACACTCAGTAATGATTATAATCAGTGAGTGGATGTGTGGGATGTTCAACATTTTTTCATTGCAGATATGGAATCGGCAAGTTGCGTTTTAATTCATATATAGTCTGTTGCGTTCACTTTCGCGCTAATGAAACTATTTCTTCCCCCAATCCTAACTATGGGTTAAATAGCAGCGTATGTTTCGTTCTTTATGATTTATATTTAATTGTATGCAATTGTTAAATTTTTGTCGGGATTAGTTAGTACTTGAAAGAGAATTTGAAGCGTCATGATGTCCGCGGTAAGATAGAAATATAAATGTAAAGATTTGATGAGAGGATTTTTTTCTGATTGATTGTGTCTGTAATTGTGAGGAGATAAATTAAAGATGGGGACAATGAAGATAAGCTAACCCTATCTCTCTTTTGTGTAATATCTTGGTATTATTAAAAAAAAATATCCTTGAGTAACAGTAAAAGAGAAGCGATACTAAAGTTTTAACTGTGGAAAAAGAAAATTACTTCAGTCATGAAGAACACTTTGGAATCGTGGCAACTCAAAAATAATAGAATTGCGAAAGAAATGGTCAATAGAATTAAAGATTAGCTAAGGTAGAAAGTTAAATTTTCTCCTCGAGAGATCGGAAAAATTTGGAAACATGTTTCAAAGTCGCTAAAGCGAGAGCCATAGAGAAGAAGAAGAAGAAGAAGAAGAAGAAGAAGAAGAAGAAGACGACGACAACCAGAACAAAAACAGCAGCAACAAATTCGCTTTCAAGGATGCCCATTTAAATGGCGAAACAAGGGAGATAACCGCTAAAGGAATGTATCGCCCACTGAATGAAGGTGCAGATGTGCCCTAACGGTGAACAACACAGAATCTGATTAACGACCATCAAAGTTCCAGAGCCGTCTGAAGTAGTTTGTTTCACATTTCTCAAATGATCTTTAAAAGGCATGAAACCACATCTTGAGCAAGCTCTTTCAGGGATGATCCCAGCTCAAGTGCAAATTGTTTTATGTTATTTGGCAGGAGAACAGCGCTACCATGAAGTTGATTTATTTGTTCATGGAATAATTTGATGAAAAAGAGAAAGTGTGTCCCTGAAAAGAGAGAAGGACTGAAATTATGCCTTTAGGAAAGAAGTGAAGAGAGATGGCAGCAATTTGGAAAAGTATTTTCATATGGCATAGAAATAAAATATAGCTCGTTATATATGGAAAAAATTCTTTCCGAATTTCTCTCCATCTTTACATTGCTCATTTATACGTTCCCTTCTGTCTTTACGCTGTTTTTATTTCTGGCACTTTAGTCATTTCTTTCTTTCTTTCTTTCTTTCTTTCTTCGTAATTTAACTTCACCCTTCCATCATTCTATTGTTCTTTTTTCTTTCATTACAGTTTAACATTTTACCATTTCCGATTTCTTTCTTCGAAATTGTATCATACTCTTCATTCTTTCTTTCATTCTTTCTTTCTTTTTCCTACGCAATTTTCCCCTATTCGCATTCTTTCTTTCTTTCTTTCTTTCTTTCTTTCTTTCTTTCTTTCTTTCGTTCGTTCGTTCGTTCGTTCGTGCGTTCGTTCATCCCTTTTTTTTTCGTCAGATGTCCCTGTTCTCAACTCTTTCATTTTTCTTTCTTTACAGTTTGATCCTTTCCTTTCATCTGTTTTTTTTTCTTTTCCTAAATGTCTTCGTAATTTAACACTACCCTTCTATATTTTCTTTCTTTCTTTCTTTCTTTCTTTCTTTCTTTCTTTCTTTCTTTCTTTCTTTCTTTCGTTCGTTCTTTCTTTCTTTCTTCGTCAGATGACCCTGTTCTTGACTCTTTTTTTTCTTCAAAATTTGACCCTATCGTTCCATCTGTTCTTTTCTTTCTCTGATTCTATCTTCCTAATTTAGCTCTGTCCTTCTATATTCTTTCTTTCTTTCTTTCTTTCTTTCTTACTTTCTTTCCTTCTTTCTTTCATTCATTCATTTATTGTTTCTTTCTTTTTCTTTTTCGTAGTAGTAGTAGTATCAGTAATATTAGTATGTATCTACACTTCTTTCTTTCTTTGTAAGATATCCCTCTCCTCTCGTTCGTTTTTTTCTTTGCAATTTGACCCTATCTTTTCATCTCTCTTTTTTATTTCCTTATTTTCTTCTTCGTAATTTAAATCTAACCTTCCATATTCTTTTTTCTTTCTTTTTTTTATTTCATCCTTTCTTTCTTTTTTCCTCAATTTGCTTCTTCTCTTCCTTTCTTCATTTTATTCAGTCTTCTCTTTCACTCCAAATAACACGCCATTTTTCTCTGTTAATTTCTTCCCACTTTGCTTCTACTACTCAGTTCTTTTTCATTTCTTTCTCTGGCTTTCAACTGCTTCCCAATATCTCATCCAATGATGCAAATGTCGATAACAATATTATCATGTGTCACATTATATTCACTCTCCATTATATAACAGACGCCCGTGACGTCATCGCTGCAGGTGTTGGGCTGATGGCCACACAAACAAAATGCCGCACGCATACAAATGATTTCCTAACAGCACTTATATTAGAACGCGCTTTCGGCTTTTCGTGAAGATTTTCGCGTTGGCTTCAGACTAAATGACTGTTCCCAAAAAGAAAGCTAATACAGAAACACCATTTCCGATAACTAACATCGCAGTAGGCGACAGCTGACATAGGAAAGACTGTTAAAGAATATTGAATAAAATGCGGATATTTACAGATACCGACATACGTTTCTTTTGTATGGGAAGCAAAAAACATTAACGTTTCTTACTTCTTTATCTGAATTTCTGGGATGAGAAGTTATTATTATTTATATTCAGACTATTGTCCTCATCTTAATTGTTGTTATCACAAAGTTTCGGTCGTTATACCCTTCTTTAGGTATATACCGATTTGGGTAATCTACGGTGGAGTAATGGATAGCGTCTCGGATTGAGGAATCGGAGAGCAGAGTTCGAATTCCAGACGAATCCATTACGTTCACTTACGTGATAATACTCTCGAAAAAGGCATGAATCATCTTCTCCTCCCAGCTATATGTAAATAGCGTTTTTTCCCTTGTCTCTTTCTCCCTCTATTCGACCCGTGAGTATCAGATTCTCCCGACCCTCCTTCCTCATTATGTGTTCCAGGCACTTCAGCTGCCTCTTCCTGATGTGGTTTGACTTATGATAATTATGTGTTCCTGCAGGTTTATTTGCTAAAGACACGCTACACTTGACCACGTTTTGACATCCACTTGCTTAAGGCCGCTAGGTATGTCATACGATTTTTTTCCCTTGCTTCTCTTTCCCTCTATTCGACCCGTGAGTATCAGATTCTCCAGGCCCTCCTTCCTCATTATGTGTCCCAGAAACTTTAGCTGCCTCTTCCTGATGTTAAATATAAGCCTCCTTGCATCCTCATCGTTGCTCACACGCTCGGTCTATGATATCTCCGTCGCCTCGAGTCTCTTCTTCATCTTTAAGGAAATCGTCCAACATTTGCTGCCGTAAAGAAGGACAGATGTCACGTAACAGCTCAGTATTCTTTTCTTTGTTACCAAAGGAATCCTCCTGTCTCGCAATACAGTTTCGAATGTGTCCTTCGTCATCCGAATACGTCTACGGATCTCAGTATAGCATTTACCGTAGTCTGTCAGAACGCTTCCCAAATATTTAATCTGTGTCTGCTTGATTCTAGTGTCTCTGACCTGCAAATCGCATTTCTGGCTCATCCTTTTACTGATGACCTTGCATTCTGTCTTGTAGTTTATGCTTAGTCCCTTCTCTCTCTCCTTCGCTACTTTCTGTTGGAGATTTTGTAATTTCTTTTCCTGCAGTCAGTACTGTGTCATCTGTGTATCTTATGTTGTTAAGATTGTGTCCACCGAAGTTAAATCCTGGTAGGCATTCTAATTCTCTTAGATTTGCCTCGCTGTATAAATTGAACAAGCCAGGTGAGAAGACTCATCCTTGCCTTACGCTCCTTTCTATTTTTGTATATTCACTGAACTCTTTCCCTATACGCATGCATGCTGTTTGCTGCCAGTATAGGTTCTTGATTATTCTGCTATCTTTCTCGAATATATCAAGGTTGCTGAACAGTTCCATCAGATCCTTGGGGCATTTACACCACACACCTTAATCACAATCGCTCTACCTTGAGTGACGATTGAACCCTGTATTGCGTGAATATGAGTAAATTAATACCTCTTACTTACGAAGCAGGCGACGAGTTCAGGTCGAGTATCTTCCGATATCTGTCTATATTTCTCAGATGAGGTATTGTAACTATTTATAGTAATTACATTGTTCGGACTGTTTCCCTCATTGTCATATTCACAACGTTTCGGCTGTTCTACGCTCCAGCTATCCACGGCTAATATACATTGGAATTTCGAACCGAACCCTTAATGTAGTTCACGGGGAGTAGATTGTTCTAGTTCCACGTACCATGCCTCATCTGGATATCTCAGTTTCAGTTATCTCCCTTTAGTAACGGTATCCGCCAGTATATTACAGTCTAAATCTCGATTTTATATATTTGTCACATTGACACTTTCGATTAATTCAATGTGATTTGATGAATTTTGCATTCTCTCATTCGTCACTTCTAGGCTTTCAGATAGATTTATTATATATGCAAATAATTTCTCTTTAGACGTAAAACCGGCGTCGAAGAGGGGATTGCAAATACTGGAGAAATTTGTATTGATTTAACAGGTTTTGATGTGCTAGATCTTAGCAGGCGTCATGACTGCCTGCTGCTACCAGCCTCAGACGATTTCCCTGGGTGGAACTGGCCGAGTTAAAAAAAAAAGAAAAGAAAGGATTCCTGTATTAACATGCGCCAAACTATTTCGATGTACTTAATTTACATTTTACACCATTCTTTATTGTCAAAGTAGGAATAAAATAACTTCACATAAATACACTGTTCGTGTACGCACACACTCAGACAAACATACAACGGGTACATCCTCTATACAGGGTGTATCAAATTTACTTTTACAAACTTTGGGGGTGGGTTTCTCACATCAAAACAAGGACAACAGTCCATATATATATATATATATATATATGGTCTGGAGCACCTTCTGTTTGTCTCGGGGTTCTTGATAAGATCCAGAGACGGATATACAATGTAATTGGCCCTGATCTGGCATCTCGTCTGCAGTCGCTCTCTCAAAGACGCGCCGGCTCCCTCTGTCTTTTTTTACAAATACTTTCATGGTAATTGCTCCGATGAGCTGCTTTCGCTGGTTCGCAGACTTGATGAATTCAAGCGTCCTACGAGCCTGGCATCTCTCTCTCACCCTTTCACTGTCGAAACTGTTAAATGTAGCCGTCTCTTCTACTCCAATAGCTTCATAACTCGCACCTCTCGCCTGTGGAACTCCCTTCCCTTTTCCTGTTTCCGTGATAGCTATAATCTCCAACTATTCAAATGTAATGTCAATCGACATCTCCAGTTGCCTTGATCTATCCACTATCCTTCTCCTCAGCCTTTCCTCTATCACTCTTATCTACTCTCGCTCCAAATCCTCTGTAACCCCTTGCGTGCTAGTGGCTTCCCGCCTATACACACGAATATAATCGGAACGAAAATAATACGTGAGTTCTAACATTCACAGCATTCATCTAAAAGAGGGCTGAATACCGACTGTAGAGAATTAATTATTTATTATAATTTTTCCATATAGAGAAAAACAATTTACAAAGATGCAACTTCGTTTCGGTGCATTACGTTCCACCTCGACTCACCAAAATGGTTATGAACACTTTTGCTTGTAAGCAGGCCGCACGTGGAACATCACTTCCGTTTTTCTATTTGTCTGAGAAAAAATAGGTGCATTTTAAGGGGGGACATATAAGGATAATAAAAAAAAATAGGACAGGCAAAACGATAGCAGAATGAAACAATAGTGTTTGTTGATATCAGTTTGGTGAAGGATTGTTGAAGTATTAATGTTATGGCTTGACCTGAAAATTTTTTTAATTGACAACAAAGGTCAAGGGTAAAGGCACAACATTTGCAATCCTCCTATGAGTAAGGGTTGGGGGAGGAAAGATGAGAATAGGAGAGAGTAAGACGATGAAAGAGGAGGTAGGGATAAGTTCAAACGATGGTTATCGTAGTAATTGTCAATGTTTTTGGTAATTTTAAAACGAAGCCAGAGCTGAATTGCATATATTTAGACTGGAATTATTGCTAATACTTTTGTAATTGATTAAAGTATTTTGTAAATTAATAAATTATGAGGTGGAGACTTTTTCTTAGTACGTTGAATATATAAGTTATTTTTTTTTTAAACAATAAGTTTTAGTTTAGAATTTAAGATATAAGTAGAAAGGTATTTAAAAGTATGGGATATTAATATAACTTTTTGTTGTGGAGTTATTTCGCTGTGGAGGCGTGTATTTGTACTAAATCGGTCCTAAAATAGGTTCGACGTTCAAAACGTTAGAAACTTGATATAATAGGTATTACGCAGAGTAATCTAGTTGTGATCGCTGATACTTTCGTATTCGACTAACTGTCGTCCGACATCGACTCACTGACTGACTGACCGACCCCCGTTTCTATTAATACTCCTACTTATATTAGGTGGGAGAGTCTATTAGCTATATAATAGGTGTGTTTCACCATAACACTTTTATAAGCAAATTTGAACATATTGTCGATCTATATAACTTGTAGAATAAGTATCGATCTAAAACAATTTATTTGATACTATTAATAGTATTATATATGTGCAAAATCATGTTAAGAATCATAATCTAAGATCAATTAGTAGAAAGGTATATAAGAGCGTAGAAAGTATATCAACGGTGGTGATTTATAATTTAAACGTTTAGGGTTATGCATTTGGAAGTTTAGCAACATTGTAATGTTAGATCTTTAATATGCCTACAAAAAAAGGTGGTTTCAAATCTTTGATTTAAAAATTGGCTGTTGTTCAAAAGTTTAATAATACATATTTTTACCTGCAAACATAAAAATCAAGGTTCGCTCAAAGATTTGCAAGTTCTGGCTTGTTTTAGGATTTTTCATTTAACCTTAGCTGTTTTGTTTTCCTCCTTAAGTTTCCAAAAGTATTTAGAAAGAGACGTCATATTGCATTTGCTTGTATTATATAGTATTTTTTCCAAATATATTGTGCCTTTCTTAAAGGGACTTCAAATATGATTAATTCATATTTTATATATTTATATTTTTAATTATAAAGATCTAGGATGCTACATTTATTATATTTAATGGTACATTAGATATGGCATTGTTAAAATTAAAATTCAGGAATTACGTTCCATTAAGCATGGACAACATGCGTCTTCGTATTTGCAGGGGTACATCCTCTGGCAGGTCCCTGTAGACAGCTCCAATAAGACGTGCCGGGAGAACATATGGACCTACTAGACAGTCACCTACGATTCCAGCCAACACATTATTTGTAAACTGATGCTGGTGTCTAGCCTGTCGTGTAAAATGGGGATTCTGATCTTCCCACAAATGTCGGTTGCGTAAATTTGTTATTCCAAATCTTCCAAGTATTGCCTCATCCGTGAACAAAAGATTGAAGATTGTGCAATAAACCATCGGAAAAAGTTCTCTGGTGGTCAGTGATAAGAGGGCGAAAGATCCTGCACACGTTGCAAAGGATACGTATACAAGAGCTGCTCTTGAGGTACTATGAAATATACCACATGCTAGAGTAACTTAAAGTGTGCTGGATAACTCAGCTGCCTTCGGCCTGGAAACGAAATCTGATACAGCCGTATAGCCTCACGTCCATTACCATTCGTTCAAGTTACTCTAGCATGTGGTATATTTCATAGTACGTCGTTTGCTATGACTGAAATGGGTTAAAGTGCTTGATTTCGTCCGGTCTTCCTGGCCACCAAGTGAGCTGTTGCGAGTGTCTTCTTATTCTCTCGGTCTCGTTAGTACGCACGTACACCACCACGCCAACAACACCATGTCCGTCTTCCTCGGAGACTCGCTATTTATGCCTGCGTGGCGGGGAACTAAAATTTGCATACGAGTCTTACATCTCGTTCGGCCTAGACTTCCGATTTTTCCTTTGTACGTCTTCCCGCGATCTAGGAATTTCGGAATAATCCGTTTCTCTTTTAATGTCAGTCGCGATTTTTCAACAGGACCCGACACGCCAAACGAATTCGCTTTGTGGGGGGTAAGGTTTCTCGTTCCACACACTTTCCTTAAAACTTCCTCATTACTCACATGATCAATTCATGATATTTTCATCACTCTTGTATGTACCATTTTTTTTTGTTGTCTAAAATCACTTCATCCGTTCAGTTAATAGTATTCTCAATATCCTTCAGCAGATCCACATTTCTGTTGCATCGTCTTATGCATTCCTGAGGAGATTATTCTGCATTCACTGTAGATAAGTGGACTGGCACCACGTAAATGTTCAGTACTGATTTTTTTTTTGTTTCTTAACACTTAGCCTTCTGTCGCAGAGTCAGGTCACTACTTAGATGGGGGAGCGCTTGGGAAGACCTGGTATTGTAAGCAGACCCCTACTACCGAGGTAAACTTAATGGGCACCTCGGCGTGGTGTAATGGTTAGCTAGCTTGTCTCGTTAGATCAGTTAGACTGAAAAGTGAGTTCGATCCTCACTAGGTGCTCCATACTTTCGGCCTTGTGCCACATCTAAGCTACGCTTAGAAAATGACATTATTAAGGGCACCTCGGCGTGGTGTAATGGTTATCAAGCTTGTCTCGCTAGATTAGTTATGACTTTAAAGTGACTTCAATCCACACTTGGTGCCCTATACTTTCGGCCTTGTGCCACATCTAAGCTGTGCTTTACTTAGTCTTCAGAAGACATCTTTTAATATTCCAATCAGCTTTCGGATTACGGTATCAAAATTCTTTGTCATATAAAATCCATACTTCCTTTATTTAGCATCCCCAATTCATTGTTTGCATTTTAAGTTTTCTCTCTTGTTGACAACCATATATTCTGTCTTCTAACACTTGAGAGTTAGTCCTTTCTTCTCGCTTTAGTTTGCTACATTCATAGGAATTCTTGCAGTTTCCTTTTTATGTCTGCTATCAACACTGTGTCATCTGTATATTTTATGCTGTTAATATTGTGAACATAAATAATAGACACTTTTTATATTGTTCGGATTATTATTTTCATCTTTACCGTCATATTCACGACATTTTGGCTGTTGTATATTTTTATCTTCTTCAGTTGATATACGTTGGAATTTCGAACCGAAACCTTTATTTCTTCCACTGGGGTACATTATTCTAGTTCCACGTGTCATGGCTTTTCTGGATATCTCAGTTTCAGTTATTTCCCTTTAGTAACTAAATTCTCCATGTTTTGCATCATCTTTGCTGTGGCCAGATATTGAACTCACAACTCTTTGTGTCAAGTCACTGGATTACTTCAACTAACACTTTTATCTATCGGGCCATATGTCCTTGGGGACTAAATAAATTTAAATAAATAATTCCAACGCATATTACCTGAAGAAAGCCGGAGCGTACAACGGCTGAAACGTTGTGAATATGACAATAAAGATGAGAATACTAGTCCGTATAATGTAAATAGTGTAAATAATTATAATACCTCATCTCAGAATAAACAGATAAATAATGAATCCTGGTAGAACTTCTGATTGTGCAAAGAGGCATATATTCAGTTTTTCTCTGAAATTAATTTCATTAGTTACATTAAATCAGACATGTATAGATTAATAATCTTCCTAAGGGACACTTCTGTGCATAGGAAAAATGTTAACAGTCTTGATGCTTACGTGTAACAATTTGATTGGATGAAAATGTATACAGTGTTTTTTTTTTTAATTTCTAAAGCAACTTTGTTTTACGTGCTATAAAGAAATTCTTTTGAAGCATTAACAGGAATTTAATTACAGCTCAAGCACGAAATGCCTGCTATGAATACGCATGCTCCGATCATAAATGTCTTCTTCAAATCGATTGAGATTACTGATTGTTTAACAAAGAATGAAATACCAAAACATGTAATAACCATAAACATTATCATTAGAAAACGCCATTCTTTCGATATATTCACCAAGTTTTAAGCTCGTTTAGTTGTTTTTTTTTACTAATGCTCACCCAATACAAAGCCAAAGAGCCACTCAAAGTAGAGTGTTACTGTTTGGAATTGGGTATGATTAGCGTAAGAAAGAACGGGCGTTAGGAGTACAGGGGTGAAGCAGAAGCAGACTTTAGACGGAATCGGAAACTCAATCCTAAACAGGAAACAAAGGATAAACATCTACTCCTGTTCAAAAACCAGGGAGGAATGTGAAACGGACGACAGGTGATCCTGTTTATTCCTATTGGCGGAGGAGACAAAAACAAATGAAGGTAAAGTAAATTGAAATAAATAAGTAGTGAATAAAATTTTAGTGATCAGAGGCAGATGGTAAGAGTTCGGAGCTGAAGCAGATTTTAGAAGGAACCGGACACCGAGGCTTAAACCGGAAACAAGTGATAAACCTCTACTCTTGTTGAAAACATCGGGGAGGAGTGTGAACCGGATGATGGATGGTTGTTAGCAACAATGAGAGGAAAGATGCAAATTGAAAAGCGGGTAAATAAACAGTTGGCAAATCGAGAATGCTTTCAAAAAACAGCAAACAAATATTTTTACGAAATTCCCAGAACATATCTTTAAATTTTGTAAAAATGAATTCAGTAAATAGACATGAGGTTTTGTAAATATTATATTAGCAGAGAAAACTAAAGACAATATATATATATATATATATATATATGATAGAAATTATTAGAAGGGATTTGATAAAGGATATATTTACGTTGACATTCAGCGAATAGTCTGAAAGAAACCTCAACAGAACGCACTGGACGGCCGTTTCCAGTCATATATTTGGGACTCAAAGCAGTTCGCATCGGACCTCTCCAGTGCTTTCTGCATTCTGTTGAGGTTTCTTTTCTGACGATGAATTACTTAAATAGAATATAATAATTTCTATCTGTGTATATCATTTTCATTCATACTTTCTGTTTATCCTTCCTAATGCTCTAGAGTTAAATGAGCGGCATTTTATGAGAGTAATGTCGTGGCTCCAGGGTTCTATCCTGCTCTACCACGGCGGGGCACAATTCTATGGCGCCAGCTTTTCGCTCCTCGCTGCTCCGTCCGGGTGTCGCAGAGAGCCTCGCGTAGAGTTCCACCACGGAATATGTGAGCGAGCGGCGCGTTTCCCAACTCGCTTGAGTCTGATTTGATCAATCTGCCTACCCACGTTGTGAATTGATCTTAGACAGACGAGATCGTCACCGAGGCCCAGTGGATATGATCAAAGTTTCAAAAAAAGGTAACAAACTTTATGTCAACCTAACTGTCATTTTCTCCCGATAGTGGATGCGCACTGCTGATGAGTCCCAAATTTAGGACGATATGGCCGTGCAGTCGCTTTTTTGTTAAGAGGAATCCGGAATTTTGGTTTTGGTCTTTCAGACTCGATGACATTCTCTTTTCTATATATATATATATATATATATAAATATATATATATATATATATATATATATATATATATATATATATATATAGTCATCCACAGACAGACTTGGTCAATGTTTTTGATCTGTAACAATCCGCGGCTTTGTTTCGGATCAGTATCATTTCTCTGAACGTCCGGTTGAGCTACGAGGCTTAGGATCGCTAATTTATCAAGAAACCCGACTGAATTTTCATCAGTCTGACGTTCTAAACAAAAACACCCTGGGTCCCCCATTTTCCTTCGGCACATATAATGGCAAAATTTATTATCGCAGGCAAAAAGGTTTTGTCGAAAAGAATTTAAGCGTGACTGTTGTGTGATTTATTTTTAGATAAAAAGGCACAGTGACTGAGATAACTCAATTCTACGATTACTCGTAGGTGGCCTTTAATTTTCATATTTACCGAAGAGTCTTGCACTGGTCTGTGTTGATTAGCCGTAATTTGCCACTGTTTGATAAACCCACACTTCCTCCCACCTAGAGAGCTATCTTTCCCTTCCTTTCTTCTTTTCTTTCTTTTCCCTTTCTGATTTTAATCTATGAGATTATAATAAAAATATGTTTGAAAATTGATACAGAAAAAACGTTTCATTAGTTTCAATTTTATATACAACGAAATGATTGTACTTCTTCAGGCGATGGTAAGCACCTAGTGATTAAATTAGATTTTTAAAGAAAATTTAAAATCAAAGTGTTACCTCTTTTCCGAAAGTTAAAGCTAGAGAGGACATATGATTAAAATTAATAATTGATTTGAGGATATGTCTTGATTAATCAATTAGATGTCAAATATACGCGAAATAGAAAAGTAAGCTCACAGGGTGGAGCTGAGTGAGTTATTTTTTCATGTTACGATGAACCGGGATATAGGCCACCATTGGCGATTGGGAAAATATGTCAGCGACAAATGTTTCTTGATTGTAGACAAACATAATATGTTCAGTTTTTGAAAGGGCGTTGAAGTGAGGGGTAGATTAATCAGACATTCAGTTAACAGAAGAATACATTCTTTTTATATATACAGGAGCAATCATAAAAAATAATAAATATATATTGCTCTACTTTGTATTGAGCCGTTTTTTATAAGCAAATGCTACGAACAGTGGATTTTTACTCCATCTGTTCTTTTTTTTCCGAAAGTCTATATATATATATATATATATATATATATATATTAAATGTCAAATGTGTGTGTGTGTGGGTGAGCAAAAAAATAGAAAAACGGAAAGAACACGTTAGGTAAATAATCCGAAGTTCTTTATTGTACTTTTGGTTTTTTTTAAAAAACAGTGCTCGATACAAAAATGATGTATATATATTGCTCTACTTTGTATTGAGCCCTTTTTATAAGCAAATGCTACGAACAGTGGATTTTACTCCATCTGTTCTTTTTCATATATATATATATATATATATATATATATATATATATATATGTGTGTGTGTGTGTGTGTGTGTGCAAAAATATAGAAAAATAGGAAAGAACACGTTAGGTAAATAATATATATTGCGAAGTTCTAAATTATAATTATTTTTAAAAAAATAGGAAAGAATATTATTCCTTCCTTCGCTACATAAGAGTTCTCATGTTTCAAAAGCAAGAGCTGAAAACTTCAATTTAATTATTAAAATTAAATTGAATTAAAGTATCAAGCTCTGTTTCATGTTGAAGCGAAATATTTGGAATAACTAATCTTGAAATTTACATATTCATTCGTAAAATTAATTACTATGGAAACGGCTAAAGCAATAATTTAAATCAGGGGAGTAAGGGTTAACAATTTGTATCAATATATCAGTTACTTTCGGAAAGAAGTCAAGTCAAGGTAGGGTTGGGGTGTCTAATTTAAAGCGAATGATGGCATTCATTATACACATATCGTCTAGTCTGTTTCAGCGACAGAGAGTTTATTTGTATTTTGAGTTATTACTACATTGTTAAGTGTCTAAAGATTTTTTTTCTAAAAGGGTTGTTGATGTCGTCGTAAAAAATTTGTTTTTTGTTTTTTGAACTTCATGTCTATGATTTAATTTTAAACCTTTTCATTATTTTTTATGAAATTTAATAATTTGTTGATGTCGGCAAAAACCATTTTTTGTCATGTTAATAATGTATAAAGGGCATGGGTCATCCCAGGTTTTACAAGTTCTTGTTCTATTTATTATTTTCCATTTTACTTTTGGTGTTTTATTCATTTTTTTTAAATGCAAAATATATATATATATATATATATATATATATATATATAAAAAAGCTGATTGTGACTGTTATGGAATCCTATTTTATTTTCACTTCCTAAGACACGTCTTAAAGAATACTCACTTTCTAAATACGGTATAATTTCGTTGTCTCCTCGTCTGTTTGTCAATATGCATTCATTAATGACAAACCTATCCCAGAATTCTTCTTCCGATAGAATCTACCCCTTCGCCGATCTTTTCATAATGCATCGCTCTCGCTTTCATTCCTTTCCCCTCCCCCGCCAACTCCATACGCTAAGTGCATGCGCATATTCTTACGTCTTCTCATTGGCTGTCAAAAGGAATTAATATTTTACTTAAGGTATCAGACTTCCATTTATCAATTTCGGAATAGGAATAATTTCCCACGTTTTCTTTTCAATTCTCAAAACTCTCATCCTTGATGATGTCATTTTTATGGAGGAGGGAGGGTGGCAGTTAGATTTTGATCACGAGCTCTTTGACAGAATCAATCAGAAATGCGACATTTCAATTCGCAGGTTGATTTTCTTTTAATTCTGCTTTCACAGCGTTCCTTTCTATTTACAGTATTTTTTTTCCTTTGCTTTAAAGCTGAGTTTATTTATTTCGTTCTTTGATTTCCATATTTTTTTATATAACCCAATAGTTATTTTTATGTATTTATGTTATATTGCCGTAATTCCTCATGTATAATGCGCCTTCATCCATAATACGCGCACCTAAAATGTTAGTTCCAAAATTGGCCGCTATTTTTTATTGTCGTCATCAGGAGACAGAAATTGGAAGTCCGGTATTAGCCGGTGTACACACATGCATCATCTCTCAAACATTTTATACTGATTTTGGTACAGTATACGGTATTGTTCTTTGTCAAGCCCTTCCCTAGCAGCATTGATATGGAGGAAGAAATGGCGGAACGACCGAGAACGTCTAACATGCATGATTCTGTTGACACTCTCCGAAAATTTGTTGTTGTGACCAAGAATCGAGTAATTAAGGCATATTATCAACACCTTCGAACCTTAAGGGAATTGATAATTTGCGAACAGTATCAAAGTGGGAAACAATTACCGTATTTCCCCATGTATAATACGCTTTCATCCTTAATACGCACAACTAAAATTGTGCTGAAAGTGTAGGAAAATGCTTCTACTCATACATAATACGCACACCCTATAACTTCTACCTCTCCAATTTCATTACAGACAGAGGCCAACACTCAATTTTAAAAAATGCTTTAAAATAGAATAATAGTATTCTAATTTAGTTTTATAATAATTCTTATTTTATTTTAGGGTAATTTTTAAAAAGATTTTTGTAGCTGTGCATAATACGCACCCCTGATTTTGCGTATTTTTTTTTTTTAGAAAAATGTGTATTATACATGGGGAATTACGGTAGTTTTTTTTTATTTGCTTTGGTTTTATTCAGGATCTTCTTGCCTAAGTGTTTTCTTTCCATTTTGTCTTTCATCATCATTTCTTTCTTTCTTTCCTTTTTTTCTACCATTCTCAATTTAGCATCTTTTTTTTTCTTCCTCTTTCTTTCTTTCTTTTCAGTTTTTCTTTTTTCTTTCATTCTTTCCTTTTCTTTCATTCTTCCTTCTTTTTTCTTTCTTTCTTTTCTGTTTTTCCTTTTTTTTCATTCCTTTCCTTTTCGATCAACTACATCCGGCTTCAAGGCTTTTCCGGTTTTTCCTGATTTTTTTTCCTTTCCGGCATTTCTGGTGTCCTGGGTATGACGATAAACTACATCCGGCAGCCAGGCTCTTGATCAAGTGTGATCCTGGGTACGACGCTAAACTATGTCCTGGCATTCAGGCCTTTGATCTGGTGAGGTTCTGGGTATAATGGTAAACTACGTCCGACGGCCAGAGGTCTAATCTGGTGGAGTCGTGGATGCAGCCAGCCCTCGGATCGGGAGATTGGAGATTTTGAAGAGCGTGGAACCACCTTTTAATTGCTGCTGTTTCCCAAACCCTACCAATAAATGAAAGTATAAAATATATTTAAATAGTAACATATAACACCAATATATTTTTATATAAAAAATATCAACAATACCTAGTTATAGTAAAATTACAAACGATACATTTTATCTGTAGTTAAAGGCATAGAGTTCAGAATATTTAAATTACCCATATGATGTTGATATACCACTAAACAAAAAAAGAAAAATAAAACAAAACAAAAAAAAAACAGTCTTTCCTTTTTTTTGTTCGTTTGCTCCTTTCTTTTTTATTTGTTTGTTTCTTTTTTGGGGTGTTTGTATTTTGGTTTCTTTCTTTCTTTTTTGTTTGTTTGTTTCTTTCTTTTGGGTTGTTTGTTTTTTTGTTTGTTTGTTTCTTTTTTGTTTGTTAGTTTATTTCGTTTTTTTTTTTTTTGGTTGTTTTTTGGTTGTTTCTTACATTTTTGATTATTTGTTTCTTTCTTTCTCTTTTTACTTTTGATTTCGTTTTTGGTTGTTTGTTTGTTTTTAGTTTCTTTCAAGCTTTTGCAGTTGTTTGTTTGCGGAATCACCTTTTCACCTGCCATTGTTACCATGTCCATCCTGACACGGTTTTTTAGCACCTGTTACTTTCCAATCTAATGACAAAAAGTGAACTGACAAAAAACAAAAACAAAATGAAAGTATAAAAATATATTTTAATAGTAAAAATACAAGCCATATATTTTTGTATAAAAAATAACCAACAGTACCTACATATAACAAAATTACTAACAATACATTATATCTTTAGTTGAAGACATTCAGTTGTGTTCAAAATATTTACATTTAAATAGCCAATAGGGGTTGATATGCCGCTAAACAAAAAACGAACAACCAATCATTGTTTTTTTGTTTGTTTGTTTGTCTCTTTCTTGGTTGTTTGTCTGTTTTTTGTGGGGGGGGGTTCTTTTTTGTTTTTGTTTGCTTGTTTCTTTCTTTTTTTGGTTGATTGTGTCTTTTTGTTTTTTGTTTCTGTTGTGTTTGTTTAATTTGTTTGCCCCTTTCTTTTTTGTTTGTTGGTTTGTTTTTTGGTTGTTTCTTTCTTTTCGTTTCTTTCTTTCTTTCTTTCTTTCTTTCGTTTTTGGTTCTTTCTTTCTTTCTTTTTTCTCACAATTGAATATCGTTCTTCCTTTCTTTCTCACGAATGAACGTTATTTTTTTTCTAGTTCTCCTTCACGATTGAATACCATTTTTTCTTCTTCTAGACTGTACAACCATATTTATTTTTTTCCTAACGACTTTATTTCTTCCAGATTATCATTCTTTTCTTCCTCACAGCACAATTTCATTCCTTCTCTCTTCCCCATGACTATATTTCATTCTTTCTTCCGTCATTTCTTTTTCTCTATTCCTATGTCTGTTTTCTTTCTCGTCCCATTTGTCCGTTTCCTTCATTTCACTTTCAATTTAGTTTTTCTTTCCATGTTTTTTTTTTTTTTTTAAATCCTGCTTTCCTTTTCGTCTTCGATTTGCTTTTATATAAAATTCACTATTTACTTAAAAATCCTTTTTAACATTTTTATTCTTACATTCTAAAGAAAGCAATTCGTTCTTTTGAAATGCATTCATTCATTCATTCGTTCGTTCGTTCATTCATTTCTTCTTTTATTCATTCATTCATTTGTTCATTCATTTGTTCATTCATTCATTCGTTCATTCATTTATTTGTTCTTTCAATCATTTTTTCATTCTTTCATTCATTTGTTTATTCATTCATTCTCTCATTCATTCATCTATTTTTTCATTCATTCATTTATTCGTTCATTCATTCGTTCATTCTTTCGTTCGGCCATTCCCTCGTTTGTTCCTTCATTCATTCATTTGTTCATTCATTTTTTTTATTCTTTCATTTATTTGTTCATTCGTTCAATTATTCAGTTGTTCATTCATTCATTCGTTCATTCGTTCATTCATATATTTGTTAATTCATTCATTCATTCATTTGTTCATTCATTCATTTATTCGTTCATTCATTCGTTCATTCTTTCGTTCGGTCATTCCTTCATTTGTTCCTTCATTCATTCACTTGTTCATTCATTCATTCGTTCATTCATTTTTTTCTTTCTTTCATTTATTTGTTGATTCGTTCAATTATTCAGTTGTTCATCCATCCATTCATTCATTCATTCATTCGTTCATTCATATATTTTTTAATTCATTCATTCATTCATTTGTTCATTCATTCTTTCCGTCGTTCATTCATTCATTCATTCATTCATTCATTCTTTCGTTCATTCATTCATTTATTCTTTCGTTCATTTTTTTCATTATTTCGTTTATATTATGCACTTCTATTTCTTTTTTACATAAGAATCTCATTCAGTTTTTTTTTTATTTTCACAAAAACATTAATTCCTTACTTTTTAACGTAATTAATATTTATATCTTTGTAATTTTCTTACAAGGTAAAGACTATTGAACTGTTCATTAATATCAGTCCTCCTATACGGCAGTGGATTCTGGATACTCACCATCCAGGTGAAGAATATACTTGAATCAACAGAAATGCATTTCTACAGAAAGATTCTGAGGACTGAACTTGTGAGTAACAACGAAGTTTTAGAGAAATGGAAACAAAATGTTCCTTATGCATAAAATCGGAAAGAGACAGTTGAAATTTCTCTGGTATATAATGAGGAAAAAAAGCTTAGAAAATCTGATACTCACAAGATAGATTGACGCCTAGAGGTACAAAGGAAAATAACAAATACTTTATCTAACGAGCTTCAGTAAATGGATGCCAGATCAGGCTTTAGGAGAGATAACAAAAGGACAAAATTTATTAAGAGCTAAAAAGTACAGGAAATTGTGGAGAGCCATGATTGCCAACGTCCTTAAAGAACACGGCACACAGAAAACGAACAAGAAGAGCAAAAACAAAAGTCACACATTTTGTTCATGAATTCTTTCTTTCTTTCTTTCTTTCATTTTTTTTTCTTTCTTTCTTTCTATTCTTTCTTTCTTTCTTTCTTTCTTTCTTTCTTTCTTTCTTTCTTTCTTTCATTCTTTCTTTCTTTCTTTCTATTCTTTCTTTCTTTCTTTCTTTCTTTTCTTTTTCTTTCTTTCTTTCTTTTCTTTCTTTCTTTCTTTTTCTTTTTCTTTCTTTTGTCAACGTTTCTGGATTTCTCACAAACCCATTTTACTTTCTTTCAATGCTTCTAAAATCTCATATACATTTATTTTTTTAAAATTATTTTTAACTCTTTCCTAATTTATTCCTTATTTGCGGTGAATGACAGCAAAATTTCATGCAGGAATCACATTTTTAATTTTTCTCCAGATTAAAAATAAACTTTAAGAGACAGTAATCGCGTGTTTTATTTTTTCTTATTTTCTTTATCAACGTTTTTCAAGTTTGTTTTAGTCGAAAGTGATTTGCGTCTTATTCAGATAAATGGTTGCTTTTCTTAATAGTTTTCATTTTATTTTAAGTTAATTCAATGTTTCATGACATCCTTGTCGAGAAAATAATGTTAAGATTACTGTTGTTTTTTTTTTTTTTTTTGTTAATAATGCTTGTAATTTGCAAATGACGAATTAGTGATATGATGAACAGCAGCTTTTTACAAGATTCTGTGAGTGTTGTACAACAATATTGCTTTTAAAAATAAAACGTAAAAGTTAAAGAAACAAGCTAATCTTACAAGCATTAATCGCAATTGTTGATGTGGGAAAGGAACAGAGTGAGTACACTGCAAATGGCTTTTGTGAATTAAGTTGTATACTGGTTGGGTAAACTGGTGGGGAGAAAAGAAAATGTGGGGGATACGAATACGGAAAAGGGGGGAGCTGGAAACAAGAAGTGCGAAGAGAAGAGGGGATTGAGGAAAATAGAAAAAAAAGAAGGAGAAAGAAAGAAAAAATGGAAAAAAGCGAGTAAGTAGGAGAAGTGAAAAGAAAAAAGTAAAGACGAAGAAGCCAAGAAAATAATGTATTGATAAAAGAATGTCGATACAACGGGAAAGAAGAAAAAGAAGATGAAGACGAAGAAGAAGAAATAATGAAAGAAATGAGATGAAGGTAACGGAAAGGCGGGAAAATGATGGAATAGTTAAAGAAGAGACGTGTGATAAAAAAATAGAATTTGGCAGAGAGGAAAAGAAGAGGAGAAACGCGAGCAAAATTATGCTATCACAAGCGAAGAAGAGATATGCTATGAGGAGGAGGAAGAGGAGAAGAAGAAGAAGAACTAGACGGGGAAAAGAGAGAAAATAATGGACTAACAAGAGAAGGAAGAGGTAAGCAATGAGAAGAAGAAAAATAGAATGAAATATAGAATCAGAGAAGAAAAAACAGAAACGTGTAATAATAAAAATAATAATAATAATCAGAAGAAGAAGAAGAAGAAGAAGAAGAAATAGAAAAAGCGAGAAATTGATAGAATGGGAAGGAAGAGGTAAGTAAAGAGAGGAAGAAAAAAGAATGAAATGTCGAATGAGAGAAAATTAATAAGTAAAGAAGAAGAGACGTGTAATATGGAGGACAAGAAGAAGAAGAAGAAGAAGAAGAAGAAGAAGAAGAAGAAAAGAATAATAATAATAATAATAATAATAAGAAGAAGAAGAAGAAGAAGAAGAAGAAGAAGAAGAAGAAGAAGAAGAAGAAGAAGAAGAAGAAGAAGAAGTTTATCGAGAAAGACGTGAGAGAAACATGTGAGGGGTGTTCAAGTTTCGACTAAGTCTGTGTTTGCGTATCATGAAAGGGGATCCTAT